GACCTATGATATGAATGAGACTGTGACTGACATTGGAGACAGTTTTGGATTTCCTAATAGCCCTGCCTGCACTCACGTAATTGGACTGTTTATACTGAGTATAGAAAGGTCCCCTGCTGAAGTTTTAGGTCTGTCTGGTTGCAGAGCTTTCTTGACTTAGATCAGACAAAGCTAGGTATTGTGCAAACCTTGCTCCTAAGGTTTAGGAACTTTCCTGAGAGTTAGATCTACGATTGTACAGTTCACTGTTAATAAAAATTTGGCCTTAAAAACTGGGCTTTTGTGCAGCTCTGCCTGGCTGCAAATACTGTCCAGAATTTTGACAGAAAACAGAGAAATGCTTTCAGTGTTTGTACAATTTGCATAGCTATTTCAATTAAAAGTTCTCTCTCATTGTACAAACTCATTTGATACAAAAATCAAATTCCACAAAATTAGGATTAACTCTCCTATTTTCCCCTCATGTTTCTCAGTATTTGGAGATTCACGGAGGCAGCCAAACATCAGTAATACAGGTCACAAGTGTGAATTAACCATGAAAGCATGATTGAAGTGTTACTTCTTTAGTAACACAGGTTTCCCACCTCGATTGTTGAAAGAAAACATGCTCTTTCAAATTTAGGCCTTCACTCCTACTGAAGCCTTCTGCCATAACTTTTCTTTCAAACAGGGGGGATTAGTTTTCTAAGTAAGGCTGTGGAATACTCATCAATCAACTACAATAAAATAATCAAGCTTGCTTAATCGAGAGATATTGACCATTATTTGTTCAGCAGTCTATTACTATTTTTAAAACAAAGTATCCAAAGTAAATAGCTTTGATATGTCCTCTAAAATTAATGCCAAATGAGTAATTAGTGAGAAATGTTTACTCTGAAGTAGATCCTACAATATTCCATTGGACTTACTCACTATTAAGTATGTTTAATATTCCAGCTTAAGGAGAGTTTATACTATAATTTTACAGAGGGAAGATAAGGCATAAGAAAGTCTTTTCTAAGCAACTGAAAATGTTTCTATAAGTTAGAACTCAGATTATCATATGCAATTAATCTCAGCAATTGTTTTCAACATCTTATTTCATAACAGGAGTTGCAGAGCTGACAAAAGAGCAACTCTGAAGTGACAATCCCACACAGTTATATATAGAGTAATAACAATGCTGGTCCTGAATTTGTAAAAGAATAAGTGCAGCAGGTGGAACGAAGCAAGTTTCCTTTACTCTGTGTTTCTTGTGCATAAATGTCAAGCATGTTCAGTACATTTTGTAACAGTGGTGGTTACAATATTTTGGAAGCCTGGCCTGATAGGCTCCACTGTGATTTGCCAGGGGCCTCTTTATGACACAATAAAGTTTGGTAAGCCTTTTACTCTTTGGATTCAGCCACTTGTGCTAACAGGTTGTGCCATGTATTTTACAAGGCTACTCTCTTTCTTTGCTTTGCTTATATATTTGTAAATAAGCATATAATACAGCACCACACTTCTTTTTATAGCTCTCACCAATGCTCTCTTCCATCCTACAGAAACATTGCCTACACAGAGGTCAACCCGGAAACTTGCTGTAACGTGCTTAAACATGATGAGCCATGCTTTTGCAGCAACTTCTGTTGGTCTGACTTGACTTCGACCAGTAAAAGAGAGGGGCTGTATAAATCCCTTGATATACAACAGTGGAAGCATGGATAGTATCAGCATAGCAGCAGCAAAACCATCTGCGAAGCAAATGGGTAGGTCTGCCCTATTATACTACTTGTCAGTTGCAATTCCATTATGTATATAAAATTATTTTTAGGCCAGCTTTCAGGGTGGAAACTTTCCAGAAGTTGTTATTAAGTTTGTTCTGAATTTTTACCCAAGCTCGTTTTTACTCAGGGTTGGGGTTTATGGGGCAACAAAATTCTAGCACACCTTGTTGACAGATCCCCATTTGGATCCCCAGCCAAAGCCTCCATTTTGCTAGAAATGTTAGCTGACAAATTGTAACTAACAAATTCAGATGTCATGCATTAGCAAATCCACAAGTAGGCTCTCTGTGTGAAGGGGAAAAGGGAATGCCCCAGACTCAGCCAAGACTGGCACTGAGGGAGGGGTTTCTGCTATCTGGGAAGAGCGTACCATGGCTTGAAGCTTTCTGCAGCAAATCCTTTGCAGTTACTAGCTTTTCCTCTCAGTTGCGCCTTTCCTTTTTGCTGGGTGAATGAACAAGTGGTGGCCGAGGTTCAGAAGAGACACGACCATCAGAGCAGAACCACTGGAAAGGGAGGAACTAACTGAGGGAACCTTGCCAAAGCCCAAAGTTCTCAGTGCAGTATAATGGTTTTTCCACACTAGTGCTGTGCTGCAACTATTAGTGGTGGAGGATGCTTGGTACAATGTCCAGCAAAGGCTAGTAACAACTATGAAGTGTAGGGCCTACACATTTTCCTCCTCCTCTTTTTTATTTTTTAAGCAGAGCATTGGCCATTAGTTATTCTCTCCTTTCTGATATAAGTGGCTGTCAAGCAATGGATAAGTACATCATAACATAGAGTACACTGTAGCTGATATGAAAGGTTATTAGCCTGTATTTGACTGCAACATCATTTCTTTTAAGTTCTAACACCCACTGATTTCATTGAGCTTTTAAGATCTACCGCTTTTAGGAACTTAGGGAACCATTTACAACCTGCTTTGTTCAAAAGTCTTCTTGGCAACAAAACTCTTTTTCTTGAGGGTACAGCCAATTTAAACTGAACTGACAAGTTTAAGACTACATATTGAGACAGAAAAATGTCACTATTGTTCGGTAGCAGATTGAGCTGAAAGTTCAGTGGCAATAGCTACAACCATTTAAATCATGTGAAGGCAGCATTAGAATTGCAGGAGACAAAGGCTAACAAAGTTTCCCTGCTACCTGATATATATGCCAAATAGACTAGGCTGATGAAGTTGCTCCACAGGACTCTTCTGGGGAATTATACTTGCATGACCCAGGACAACAGATTTTTTTTTCAGGCTCGTAAGAAACTTAACAAAATACTTTGCATCACTGCTTTCTATTATCTGAAGTGCCAAAAAGAGAAGAGTGCTTTACAGAGAAGCAGTATCAGGGCAGTTCAATCATTTGTAGGATGAGGCTTTGTAACTCTTGCTACAAGTATTTGTCATGTTGAAAAGCATATTGCAATAAGTGACACTTGGAAAATATATTTGCATGTTATAGCCCCTCTTTTTAAAATAGAAAAAAGGGAGGACAAAAAGGCTATGGAACTTCTCTGCAATAGATCCATAAGACCAAAAACAAACTGAAAGGGACAGAAGTATCTTGGTTTCCAAAAATCTTCATATCAAATTGTGCATTATGCAAATAGGTTTTTTTTTTTTAACTTCTTATTGCAGTTTATACCACACATTGACATCTCAGTGAGAGGGATTATATAAGCATGATAGCAGGTTTCAGGTGCAAATGGCCATATGGATGACAAAATGCTTGTGCCAAGGGATCCCACATGGTTCTTACCCCTGAGTCCAAGACAATACACAGGAAAACCTTTCTAACAAAGTAAAATCCTGTGGACAAGCTGTCGAGGAGGAAAGCGCAGGACTGGATTTAATTCCACCAGTTGCCACTTCCCTCTCACACAGCTGATCAGTGGGATTTTAACTTTTTTTTTTCAAAAGCATTTTACATGCAGCTGGGGCAGCTGCCCCTCTCCAACAACCATGCTTGATGAGTTGGGGTAACATCTTTCCAAGGGCTGTCTTATTAGAAGAATGGCAGCCACCATCACTGATGAAAGGATTGCTGTTGCTCCTGCTTGTAGCAGTGCTAAAGCTACGTAAAGACATTAGAGACTGGGCTCTCCAATTTTAAGCCCCTGTCCCTACAAAAATAGCAAGCAAAATGTCCCATCAGAACCAGAGCCCTGTGAATGAGGTTGCAAAAATGCAGTGGCATTTTTGGCTCCTTTCTGGCCAAAATAATGTTTAGCCCTCCTTAGTGGTTTAATAAAATCATTGAGATAGTCAAGCACTGGGACCTAAATAAAAAGTATGTTAGTGCAAAGTTTTAATACGGATTCAATCAATGATGGCAGGGTGAACTGATTAAAGAATGAAACAACTCAATTGTCCCCCAACCACCCACACAGCTATATACATTTATATTGTATTGTTTGGGTATCTATGTATTTATGGAATTTGAACTGTAAGCCATCCTGAGACCCACTGGGTATTGGAACAGGTAAAAATTACATACATACATAAAATGTTTACTAGTATGGACGGAAAATAGCAGGCTTTGCACACAGAAAAAGTCCTTTTGCAACCAGAGTGTGGGAAATGAACTGCAATTCTGCATATAGGTTGCAGTAGAACCACAATGATGCTACCCATCTGGATATTTTCCACTCAAGGGCATAGAAGAATAGTGATGAAGTGAGACCCCCCCCCCCCAACTCTCTGGAGGCTGAACAGTACTGTGTGGTAAAAAATGTGAATAGAACAGCAAAGTAACTCTTATTTTGTATATTGTATCCATTATGCTAGTTAAGCAATGTGTATTTGCTTATTTTGCAAAAAATATTCTTCAGTTATGCTAGAGTAAAGTACTAAGCAAATGCTAAAGCTTTGCCTGTTGATGATCAGAATTTCCACTGAACTGTTCATTGCCCAGATGCCTTCAATCCAATGCTTATATCCATAACAACTAGAAACATCCTTTTAAAAATTCTCTGGAAGTTATCATGTTTTGCCCAATACCTTGGCACCTGTGTGTGTAGAAATGTGTAATATGCACAGTGAATGCCTAATAACTTGTTTAAAATTCACACTTGAACATTAAACTGAGTATGAATTTGGGACACTCAAAGGTGCATGACTGCTCCTTAAAAATCCTAACCCATACTGCAGCTTTATAAATAAGGACCTGAATGAAATTGCCTTAGGCAGTTTTGAATATTCCTGTTTGTGTTCTAACCATCAATAAAAAAGAACACTAAAATAATTTTCTGTCTTACCTTGGATTTGGATGCTGTTTGACTGAAAAGAGGGGGTTGATAACTGCTCAGAAGATTTCAGATGGGGGCCTCCAAGCTGCTGGATATTAGAAGGATGTGCTGTCCTTTTCTGCATCAAAGGAAGTGGAGGAGGAATTACCCTAGAACTTCTATGGTGAGGAGAAAAGGGAGCAGAAGCTGAAAATCTGAGAAATTAAGGGGGGGAGGAGAAATCTTACTGTTAGAAATGGTCCAGTATAAATTGCTGCCAAGGTAACATTTGAGTCATTATCTCTCAGCACATTTCCCCCAATGCAACAAAGTAAAAACAACTTTCTATATTGGTATATAGTACCACTGTAGAAATAAATTATACATGCTTTAAATGTATCAATGGCCTCCTGAATTCCATGGAAAGGAAAGAGGCATGAGTGTGATAAGGCCCAGGTATGCATTAAAATAGCTAGCTAACCACCACCACTTCCAACTTTCATCTGGTGGAGAATTCCTTCTTCCAGATGGAAATATTTTGTGATAGAAGAGGCCATGTTCAACATTGATTGCAGCAGGAATACAGACTTCCTAAAGGCTTCCTCACAAGTCTGATTTTTTCACAGTCACAGGTGGAGGGAACAAGACCTCTACAATGTTTCAAAGTTGGCATCTTATAGAAGCAGACTCCATTGGACAAATGTTTTAAGTTTTTGTTAAACAAGGCTTTTCTACAAAGCCCTCTCAGACTGGGTCCTCTCTGTCTTCAGGCCAGCAACAGTATGTGTTGGCCTTACCTGCTTCTTGGTTCCTTCCAAGAAGCACAACTCATTCAGCTTGAATCTACTAGTTCTTCCATGTAGTTGCATCCTCTTTCTTTTGAGAAAGAAATAATAATAATCAAAGCTTTGTAGTGAGGTTTCTTAACCTGCTTGTTTCTGTTTTCAGTGATGCCATCCTGCAACTCCTATCCTTCACTCTGCTGTCTCCTGTGACGCAGGATGTGTGTGTCCCTGCTGCAATCTCTTATTTTGCTCTCATACCCCCTAGACTATCCTTTGGTGTGTCTGTGGTCTGGTCAGCAGAAGACAAGGAAGCCCAGTTTTCTCACCCCGAAAGACCTCTCCTGGCTGCATGCTTATCTCTCATTTACATTCACAGCATTACCCAAGTCTTCTGTTGTTACCTTGAGATGTCTTTTGTCACATCTCAGTGCTTATCCACTGTCCAACTGTATTTTATATAAACATGGGTTGTCATGTTGAATTACAGAGGCTATGAGTGTGACTGTGTCCTGCTTTCTTATGGATTGGTCTCACTGTGTCCCCTGGCTCAGTTCCTCGAAGATCTCTGATTAATTTGTTGTAATTCAGGACCTGCTGCTGTGCTGCTCTCTCCTTAATCCCTATGGGATCTACTGGTTGAACATTTGTTGACTTCACAGCTGTTCTTTCAGGGGCTGTACTAAAGCTACTGGTACTTTCTTCTTGGATAACCTGGCTTCTCATTTGGATCATTTTCCAGTTCAGAAACTTCATCTAGCTATCTATGTACCTCAAATACATTCCTGAATTTCCTCTGAATCTTTTCATGGATTTAGCTTTGAGTTACAACTGCATTTTCCATCAGTCCATTAGGCATTATCAATATGTTCTGCAATTGTATCTTTATTAGTCTTATGCCATGATTGCCTAGGGTTTAATAGTGCTTCTCACCCTGTTCATCTACAGCCACAAAGTCTAGTTTCTATTTCTTGTTTGTTTTTCAGTTAGAAGTCTTGTGTCTGCATTTTCCACTGGTTTCGATGCAGTGTGATCATGCATTCTTAAAAGCCAATTATTCTCTTCCAGTGGAATATTGGGGTTCACTAGAGGGATCAGTATAATGCTGCAACAGGCAGTGCAATATAATTGAAATCTTATCATTGTTTTACTCTTTCTGGAGTTGCGATGGGCATCTAAACAACCTATTATTGTAGCTAAAGTACACTGTACTTGAGGAGTGCATTTACAGAGTGTCTCGTATCTCTTCCACTTTCTCTGAACAGAAATAGAAAAAAATTGTTTTGACAGACCCTTTTTAATCTTTTATTAACCACATCAAGAGTACACCCCTCTTTCCAGGTTTTTCATGCCTGGCTAGGTCCTGAGTTTGCAAGTTTAATGGTCCTGGAGGCTTCAAGGCCTCCTCTCACTCCCTCCCTCCCTCCCTCCCTCTCTCTCTCATAAACTTGTGTCTAGGATTCAATCAGGGCGGGCACAATTGGGAGAGGGCACAATTGGGAGAGGGCGGGCACAATTGGGAGAGGGCAACATCCCCTCCCTCTCCCGCCCAGGTCTTCGTTATGCAAGCCAGGTCGGCCCCCTCATCCACAATCAAGTCATGGATGAGGGAAGATTTATTATTGACCGACCTGGCATTGAGCAGCAGCACCGTCAGACCCGAGGGGTGGTTGACAAGGCTACCTGGCGCCCTCTGGTTGGGGGCAGGATCAGAAGGAGGGACAGGTGTCAGCCATCTGTCCATCCTTCTTCTACGTGGACACGTTAAGCCCCTATTGTCGTAACGACCGTTGCCCGTGACCACGCCAATAGCAGCCCCCGTGGGTTCCCCAGGATATATAAACGTCGACATGGCCAGGAATGACTCAAAGCACTGATTAAAGCAGGGTAAGATTATAAAGTAGGTCGAAGGAGGAGAAAAAGAACAATAAAAAGAAAAAAAGAAAAAGAAAAAAGAAAAAGGGGATCCTTCCTCTTCCCTGAGATAGGGGGACATCCTGTCTCCTTTCTTCAGCACAGAAGGAAAGGATATTTTCCTATAGTCTTCTGGCTTCTGTGTTGCCTACGAGAAATTGTCCTCTTCCTTATGGCAGATAAGAACACCCTGACACCCATTCCATACACACAACAAGACTACAGAAAAGGTATTAGATGGCTACCTGTAGCTCACATGCCATTCAGGCATACTCAAAATACCAGCAAATCACAAATGCTTTCTAATTGTAGCCTTCAATTCCAAAACTTCCCAAGGTAGACATTTTAAGTTGGACAATGCAAGTTTGTAGATCTTTCAGAACAATGGAAAAGCTTAGGAATTGCTTTTTGCATTATTTTGCATTCACAGGCAAAGATTACTAGCTAGCTTCTAAGACTCAGAACAAATGGATGCCTTTCTTGTGTAAAGAATTCTGGGATACCATCCCATGTTTGCCTGTTTGGTTTTGCAAAATTCACCTGTAAAATCTAATCAATGAAAAATGGCTTTAGTTGTCAGCCAACAACAGAGAAAAATCCTTTAGAAACCTTTAGATAAAAGCACCATTTTAAAGATTTCACATTGGATTTAACTTCTAAGAAAAGCTTCAGAATGATAATACAGCATTTTGTAAAGCCAGACAGGTCTCCTTTTTAGTAGACTTTAGTGGTCTTTATAATGATTTATTAATCGTTTCATGAATTCCTGGCTTACTCAAGTTGGTGACTATAGCATCTACTTATACTGCCTGCCTGTCTCACAAAAGAGAAACTTGGCCATGTTTCAATCCAGATTTGTCCCCAAATAAATCACAGTGTGTTACTGGGGGAACAGCAAATTAAATTTTGTGCATGCAACAATCAATATCAGCTTGTAACCACCAGGAAACTGCCATCAGAAATTGTGGCCATGCCCTGCAGTCCATGCAAGCAATCACAGGCCAGCTTATTCTTATGTTTTAAAAAGAATCCTGACTTCAAAGGCTGAAAAGACCAGCTCATTCAAAGGTATTGTCCATTTCTCCTCTGCCCAGAGCCTTGCTGTGGAGTTAGCAATGTAGACTTGGGTGCTTCAAGGCATTATGCAGTTATTTGTGGTGGGAAAATGTTTGAGGGCTACAAATGAAAAACATGTGGACTGTCTGTAAAATTCTGTGAATAAGGGAGTGTGACTGTGTCAGGAAGCACGTGTGTGTGTGTGTGTGTGGCAGAAACCTGATTGAAAGCCTCATGCAATTGCTGGAGTAGTTCCATGAACCATTCCCTCAACATTTCATGGATGAAAATGGAAACACTCATTTATTTATTACATACGTTAGTTGTCTTATAACCTGCGACCTAGTGAGGTACAATCAATCAAGTTAAATCAATTTAACCATGGAACATATAATAAAATCCAATACAAGCAAACAACTAGTACAAAAAAGAAAGTAAACATAATGCCAGCCACCATCATAGAAGGACACAGAGAGAGATGATGATGATGATGATGATGATGATGATGATGATGATGATGATATTCCTGTAACACCTCAGTTCTCACAGTAGTGCTCCCTACCCATATATAGTTTCCTTATCAGCTGCATATTACATTTGCTTGCTCCATAGGGTCTTGCATTAGCTTTGGAAGAATGTGGATTAGTAAACTGATCATGACAGGTTTTGTTGCTAATCATGATCATCATAAAAAATTGCTTGGAATTATTCAAAATTTTAAAAAAAACTGGCCTTGACTGCAGGTTTACTATCTAAGAAATCATTTTAACATGGAAAAATTAAGAACAAACTAGACACAATGATTTTCCACAGACATATCCCAGACAGCAGGGACAGTGGGAAGGGGCTTTGATGGAGTCTAGGTTGAGGCCATGGTAGCAGCTCCTAAAAAGAACACCAAAAGCCTAAACAAATGTTGCTGTTCTGTTATCTGTCCTTTGCTTTGTTTGTTGGTTTTAGTATTTGTAATTGTACACCACTGGCAGAAGGGTACCATAGAAATGCAACAAACAAATGGCCAAATCATAGCAGATAGATGCAGGCATGAAAGTCAGGTTCCCAACTGCAGGATTTTCTTGGTAGGAGGACAGCATGATCCAAGAAGGAAGCCACAAATATCAAAACTAGAAGGCACATCAATAGGTAGGAACTGAGGACAAACATCTGGCAAAGACCATGATAACACAGAGGGAAGTAGCATAACCAGTAAATGAAAGCAAGGAAGTTCTTCAAAGCAAGATTAGAGAAAAAAGGAAATCCAAAACAGAACTTCCATAGAGTAGCCAAGCTGGTTAGGCCAGTTATCAAACAAAAGGAAGTTATCACTTATGGCTTTTATGGCTAACAAAGGGGAAGGAAGTACTTAGCCGTGGGGTCTCCAATTTGATGCTCATTTGCACTAAAACATTTGCTGACCATTCTCTTTACACCTATCAGGTTACTCAACCCTCTTGGCTTTTACT